TATTAATTGATATCAATAAATCAATTCTTGATATCAAGAAATATGTTTTAATGATAAAACTGCTTGTCATAAGATCGCGCCAGCTCGTCACAACTCGAGGCTCCAACTCGGCTAAGTGGGAGCCCTGTTTAAGCTTCTAATAACCACTTCCGAGGACTTTTTTAAAAATTATTTACCCAAATCCTTGCAATCTGCTGCCTCGAGATCACTAGAGCGAAGAAAGGTAACACTGTCAATGCGTAGCAAGCGTCCCTATTAAGTGAAGGATTGATTCTTTTCATCCAGATGGATTCGTTTACCATTTTTGACCCTGAGTGCGCTTTAAACTTAATCGTCCATTGAAAAAATGTTAACTCCAGTATTAAAGTAAAGTGGGGGGGGGGGGGGTAAGAGGACATTTTTTTTGGGGGGGGGTAAGGTCACCTTGTTTAGGTCAACCATTGGCATAATTTTTTTTTTAATTTATTTAAAAAAATAAAAAAATCAAGAGAGGGGGGGGGGGGGTTCAAAGAAAACATACGCAAAAAATATACATTAAAAAAACTCAAGGGGAGGGTTAATCCCCCCCCCCCCCCCTGCGTACGCGCCTGGTATGGGGTCATGAATTTGGTTCAAATGAACACATTGGAAGCATATGCGATTTTACAATATTCAATGATCGTTGTCATGGTTGAAATCGAGTGTAAACTGATGCAATTGTAAATATTAAACCCAAAGTTGAAAAGTGGGAGAGGCATTTTTTTATGATGGAATAGGGTCACTTTTCAAAGTTAAAGGGGCACTTTTCCCATGTAAAAAGGGGCATTTCTTACAAAGTCAGAGGGGGCACTTTTGGGGTTCGTGAAAAAGTAGAGGGGCGGGCTGACATTGGGCGACCTGACATATGGAACCATCTTTGAAGCTACTGTGTTTCAGGGGCGGATCCAGCCTCCGGCAAGAGGGGGGGGGGGGGGAGCAAATCTTGAGAAAATATTTAGTAGCGAATCAGCCAGCCGGCAAACGGCGAATCAGCGGGGGGGGGGGGGGCGGGGGAGTAAGAGCACATATATGTTTTTGGGGTCCATTTTGGGGGGACATTTTTGCGAGGAGGGGGAGTGATCGAAGCGCCATTTTTACATGACTTTCTGTTTAACTCCCATTTTCACCTATCCCAGATAACCCTAAGTTTTGTGTTGCTGCTTTCTATGTAATTGATAATGCATGATTATAGAGAGAGAGAGAGAGAGAACCACCATCATTATGCAATGGTTAATGGTTTGTGTAATGTACATTTGAAACCATTTCTTAGCGTCTTAACCATAACCAAATAGCGAACCTATTCTTGAGGAAAAGCATTATACTGAACTGATTAAAGAATAATAACTTTATATTGGCTCATACAATAATACTGATACTGGCTAAAGACAATGTGGTATCGGCACAGTAAGATCGTGTGTTTTTATAGAGGTATTTCAAAATGACATTCTGATAATCAACATTTTATTCTTTATTCATATGTATCTACGCATAAAACAAGTTATCTATATAATTTCTTTACGTGACAAAGGTTATTCTTCCTATACAAATAAAAAAGAAAACAAGGTTATTTAATAAAAGGATCATGCGACAAATAACCCGGCAAATAACCAGTGTGATCCAAATTGATGCAAATATTCTGTTTTAATAAGCAATGCTTTTCACCAGAATCTTCTTTGTAAAAAATGACTTTTACAAATCTCAGCCATGCAATTCTGCCACTGTGCTGAAATATTACTTTCAGATTACGTACATGTAGGAGCAGTATATTCTTGAATGAGTATTTTAAATTGAATGGAACGTCTCAACTCAGTAAGCATGGCTGAGCTTTGTAATTACAAAGAAGATTATGGTAAATAGCAGTGCTTATTCAAACAAATATTTGTCGCTTAATCCCTTTTAATGACCTTGCTTACTTTTTCCGATCGTTTGCAAGGGGAGAAGAAGCTATGCCACGTTAAAGACGTCATAAAGATCAGATTTTTATGCGTATGTATTATATACACAGGCCTTGCGGAACGTTTATCAAAGTGGGAGGCTAAAGTATTTACGATCAGGTAGAGGGTAGCAAGCGAAGCAAGAGGAACGTAAATTGGTTTTGGGGGTTCAGGGGGCAGAGCCCCCCTAAGCTCAGGGGTTTTAGGCAGTTTATTACGGTCAGAGAAGCACAAATATTTTGATGCCGCATTTGTGTGCACTGGCAGGTCACAATATTTTTGTTGAATGCCGTAAATCATGGTCTTGGGCAATATTTAATTCAAATGAGACACTTGCTAAAGACTTAACAAATTTAATGTTGACCATAAAGGAGAAATATGTCCTCTTACCCCCCCCCCCCCCCCCCTCAAAGTTCGAGCAACAACAATGTCCTTTTAGTTATGGCTTTTTATTTGATCATGCATTAGTTGTATATTTTATGCACTACTAACCTCTTGTGGTGTGAATTTTGTCCTGATTTTACTACTTACTCATCTTAAGTGAATCTTAGCAGACTTAAGGAACATTTTCAATAGCCCCCTTTTTAATTGTATTTTGATTGGGTGAAGTACATAACAATAAATAATATGTTTTTGAAATAATAGAAAATATCATATTTGTATTGGTTTAAGAATAATTTGTATCACTTTTACGATGGTATGTACATGCTAAACGCTGTAATTATTCAAATAAAGTAGAAAGATATTCATTTTAAGTGACAATTTATTAAGTCTTGGAAAAAGAGCCTCTTAAAAACTATCACAGATGAATAATTACTCAAAGGTCAAAAGCTCAACATTATGTGCTTATATTTTCGAATAACACTCAAAAAATGATCAACAGTGGCCATAAAAAGTCTCTTCTTTGAAATTAATACTGCCAACCTTAAATTCCATATACAAAATTATCCAGTATTTTTCTCACTTTAGTGGGTTTCAAACTTCGGTAGTAAATTACCTTCATCTAGTGCCATTTGCCGAATGAATATAGCTCAGACAAAGCATTTTATTAGTTTGAGATATCCGATATAAATGATGGAACTCTCCTTGTTTCTTCGAAATTTAAATCATTTAATTTGATTAGTGAATTTCAGTCAATTCAAATTTTGACAGGAATGTTCGGCCACATCTCATGCTTTGCTTGTGTCAACTAACATATTTGTGGTGCAATTATGGAAGGGTTACAATTGAATTATTATCACAATGGTTTAGAAGGTTATCTCAAACGTACCTACTTAAAAGACTGACATAATTGTACTTGAATCTTAGTGATTTCTTATTCTCGAATGCTTTTTGACCACTAAGGACCTGCTCATCAGTGTGTTTAATGTGTATGTGTGTGCGCAGCAGCGTACGCAGGGGGGGGGGGGGGGGGGGGGGGTGGGGGTGGGGGTCGAACCCCCCCTCAATTTTTTGTTTAATAAAAAAAATTGTGCTATTAATGGGTTACCAAAAAAGGTGACCTAACCCCCCCCCCCCCCAACAACAACAACAACTGAACGAAATATTGGTCGGCCAAATTTTCGGGACCAAAAAAAAAGGAGTCACATTATTGTTACCCTGCACTTGCTAACCGAAGATCCTAAAGATAAATATTCTGTATTAAGATAAAAAAGTTTAAATCTCAAATGTCTTATCGTATTTGTTATCACCATATACAGCATTGCCAATGTGTTGCAATAACAGTACAGTCCATGTAGTGTTCATGTATATCACTGGACACTGTAGGCAAAGGAATTGATTCTGCAAATGTTTATGCTCTGTAAGGATATTTTGTATTATTTGTATATATTCGTATTATTTGTATATTTTGTTCTGTCCATCTGTTGTCACTATTAAACACAGGGTGGGTAGGAACACTGGGGTTAATGAAGTGTAAGCTTATTTAGACAATATTTATTCTTTGGAATCGTTCAGATTCTTTCCATTTCCTTTATTCATGAACAAGTTTACATGATGTTTATTTATTTTCAGTAAAGCTCGTCACAAATAAATGAATACTCAGGTTGCATAAAACATAACGGGGACAAATTTAACAGTAAAATGTCTACTCTTGTATTGGGGGATAACAAATTATTGTTAAAAAATATCAAATGTTGTTCTATTCACCCAGGTGTTCCGATTCTACTTGTTTTACAATAAAGAATGTATATATATGTTCAGATTTTCATTTGGTATGCAAGATAAGAAAATCTTGTTTTAAAATGCTGTTGCTTAGTTATACATGAAATGGTTATCGTATCTAATCTTGAGAAACAAACTAATGCTGGTGGAAATAAAGATAAAGTCATTGTATTGTACGGCTCCACCAGTGAGATAATGGTAAATTGGTCTTTTCTCATGGGATTGCAGTTTTAAAATGTGATGAATATGTTACGTAGCTTAAAGAAATATAATGGCATGAAGGAGATGTATGGGACCTGTCCTATAAAGAGTTGATATCTACCGCAAGTATGTTCATAAGAGATAGGAGACTGCTTACTAGCAATTGATTTTGAATCAATCCCAACTCTTTATAAGAAAGGGCCCCTGAGTGCAGAGTTCAAGTATTGTTGGTGATGGTTGTTGATTAAAAGTTCTTGTTGACATACCTAAGACGGTAAATGTATTTACCAGCTCCATTTCCTAACGATGTGGTTCTACCTCAGCGTGATATACTTATGATTACCGTATCAACAATCATGTCGTTTGTTCCGAATGCGGTTTTTAGTGCCACTACATTTTGCTAATCTACCTGTAGTTAGTAAAAAAAATTCTTCTATTGATAGTCTGGTAAAATTGACTCAGATTAGCATTTTAGCAATGCATGAAAAAACATGTTTAAATTTCCATCACTAAAGGGTAAATAGTTCTATCGTGAGAGTCATGTCTTGTTTTGAAATAAAGGTGTCTTTTTCATGGTACACATAACAGTACGTTTAGTTCACACAGATGTACACAAAAAATATAACCAACATAAGATTCAACAACAATAGTCAGCTTGAATACAAAACAATGGGGCACAAGATGACTGTTTGACTAGCACTGTTTCGTTTTTATTGTCTTGCATAGAGGCTGATTGAAATATTCATGTATACAGTACTAATATTATATTCCTTGATTGATTTTACAGCATTTTATTTGCAATATTTTGTGTACAGTATGTAAAGTTGGGAGCATGGCATATTAACAGTATATATTCGCTTTATCATTTAGCTCATTTGGCAATCGTCTATGCTGATTGTTAATACAACAAACTTTGTAATAACTGAATTTTTCTTCTGATGCCTGAGGATTTATCATTCTAAAGAGGGTTTAATGCAGTATACTGTAGAGGGTTTGGGTCTACAGTGGATACTTCGCCAGAATGTTGAACACATTGTGTGGGGTTCGAGTCCGGCCGTGAAACTAATGTCCTTTGGCAAGACATGGATAGATCTACATTTGCAACTCTCAACTCTAGTGAGGTAAATGGGTACCTGGAATGTATTAATTCCTTGAACTGCTAGAGCGCCATAATGCTGGCCACGCTGAAATGGAGGTAATAATTGTGGAGCACCAGGGCCCCCATTTCACAAAACTTGTCATCAGTAACAAATAACAGTTTTTGTTATTAGCCACTGAAATCCTTGCTTCTATTTGGGTATCAGCAGATTGTCATTGTTATTGAAAAAAGGCTTTGTGAAACGGGTTCCAGGAGTGTCAGGTTTAAAGACATGAGCGATTTACAAGAACCCACTATTATTATTATTATCTTCATGAAAGTTTTGGATTGAAATCATTTATTGTCATTGTTTCTTTTCAAACCTCACTTATTGTTTTTGTCATTTTAATTCCAAGATGTATATTAAATCATATATTGATGAAATAAATACCGCCAATCTAAATGAACTTAATTTGTACATGTGCATTATATCTTCATTAATTATAGTGCAACAATTAGTAATAGCTGAAAGCTGTTTATATTTCATCCAACACAAATGCAGGAAAAGTGCAGTTTGTCCTTTGCAAGATGCAAATAATGCACGGACAATTTCAAATAAATCCTCACTGCACTACCTATAGCTACTTGTGCCCTCTATATAACACACAATGCCTAATTAGTGCCTGTTTGTCCCCCATGATCCCCTTTTGTAAATGTTAATTGAGAGCCGATTTGATGAGATAACCACCTGTCAGTGACCTTGTAGGTTGAACAAATGTTTGCAGTCATAAATAACTTAATTGAAAATATGATGGCTTGACAGCTGATGAGCTGCTAACATTGTGGAAACACATACACAAATAATTATTAAATGACAAACCTCAGAGAAGCAGAACGGTGGGATTTTCAATGAAATCAGACCCCCAAAAATAAGATATATATTTTTGAATGGAATTATTATATTGGTCTGATTTAATTCAAACTTTATACTTGAGTTTCAAACTTGTATTTATCTGATATTTTTCTTTCATACAAATGATTTTTTACAAAGGTTGAATTACCCGTTAATTAATCAATTTGGTAATAATAAAAACATAGCTCCAGTGTATCTCGACTCTCTCATCGTTCCCTACCAATCTGCTCGTCCTGGCCTTCCCTCTTCTACTGACACAACCCTGCTACACGTTCCTCGAACATACACCACAGCTGGCGACAATGCTTTCCAGGCATGTACTCCTCATATCTGGAATGAGCTTCTACGTTTTATTCGTTTATCTCCTCCGCTGGATTATTTCCGAAAATGTCTCTAAACTCTCCTCTTTGACCATGATCAACGAAAGATTCTTTGATAATTTTTATGTCAAGCGCTATGAAACAATAGTTAGTTTGTAAGAGTGCTATGGAAATGACTTTAGTATATTGTATTGTATAAAGAAATCAAGTCACAGAGACAACAATGCCAACTCGTGTGTTTGTCTTCATCGCTAATATTGTCCCTCATATTCGAATCTGGTGTTGGTTTATCTATTCCCGTTGTAAAACTCTTGTCTATTGCGGCAGCTTCACCTTTAACTCCTCTTACCCTGTACTGAGCACTACTTTTCTTCTCTTCTAGTTTTTTGCATTCAGCAGCGTATTTTTCCTGAACTTCAGAAATGTGTGCCTTTTGACTAGCAATCGTTTCAGCAAGTTTTTCAAGCTCTTCTTTAATTTGGTCCAGATGTATTTGGAAGACCTTCTCCTGCTCTTTAATCTTCTCTGTTGCTTCATATACTTCCTTCTTGATAGCCTGCAGTGTTGTTCTTTCATCCTCTTTGGCTGAACTGAGTTGAGACTTTTCCTTCTCGAGTCTCGTAATATTGCCTTTCAACGCTCCGATTCTACTACGACATTCAGACATTTCCTCTTCTAATTCTCTAATTCCTGATCTAAACTGTTCCTTCAAAGCAACCACTTGTTTGAGTTCCAGTTCCATCTTATCTTTTACTGAAAGCGTTTCAGTCTTGGGATGATCTCTTTCGGAAGATTGCCCTTGGACTCTTGGAAGAATGCGCACTATATGAACGCCCTCGTCTGTGCAGGATAAGGATATATCTAGTATTTCATTCAGGCATACATCATCAACCACGCCTTGCATAGCAACCAAAACTGGCTCCGTTTGAGCTTTGTCTGATAAAGAAAGAAAACAAGAAAAGTCATACACTTGAAATTATATGGAACCAGTACCCTCAGTAACCCGTACCTTTAAACGCAATTTACAGAAGAAGTGGTAGCAGTAGTACAACAACAATAAGAACAACAAAGATTATAATAATGGTAAAATAATGGTGTTATCGACAACAACGATTATAATAACAATAACAATTATAATAATAATAGAATGATAAAAAGAATACAAATAATAGAACTATAAACACTTGATTTTAAACCAGTAGAGAATGGGTATTTGGGACATGTCTTTACTTTTGTTTAGTTATATTCAAATGAATCATTTGTTTATGCAAGATGGACTAATGTCCGTTGGTAAGAGTGGGAAACAAAATCTTGTTATTCAATAATGTGATTTCATCCACTCCTCAGGGGAATTTTTGAGGGGGTTGGAGTGAATCCTTAGCCGTAGCTATTTTCTCTCGGGTTTAAAATGCTAGTACCTTTAAGATAATACTAAATTAATAATACTAAAGTATACGAAAAGTACATGAGCATGTTTATAGAAAGTAAATAATTTTGTTATACTAACCATTTACGATGTCTTTCAGGTCTTCTAGAGTGTCGTCATTAAATTCTATTGGGATCTTGTCCCTGTGTAATACACATGAAAAATAAAGAGGACAGTTAATACATTCAAAGTATTGATAGCAACATATGAGTATATTTAGACTAGTTTGTGAACTAACTTTAACATTTCTAACGAGAAAATATAAAAAAATAACGAGAAGTCAAATGCTTTTAAATTCCGGTTGTTAGTATTTGTATCATTCTTTATAAGCTAAATCAGGAAGACGGTGTGAGTTTATATTCCCATTTCTAATATAATTGAATTTTCCTTTCGAAAAATCGGATGAAAGGAGGAACTTTTAGATTGCGGTGAGCTTAAGATGTCCTGAGAATCGGTCACTTATATAGTCAACATTAACGAGTCTAACACCAGACCGATAACAGACCCAACAGATGACACGGAATAATTCAGTTTAGATAAATAATAATAATATTAATTAATAAAAATAATAATTATTGTTATTATTATCATTATTTTCATTGTAATATTGATATCAATGATAATAAGGATAATAATAACTAAGATAATAATATTAATGATAACAATAATGATAGCATAAATCATTAAAAAAAATAATAGTGATAATACTACTACTACTAATAATAATAATAACAATGATAATAATAGAAATAAAGATATACCATACTTAAATAGGGCTTAATTTTATCAGAAACATTTCGGCTATGCGCTGTAATGTAGGGAAGTAAAGAAAAAACATATATTTCAAATCATCACTTTATTGATTAAACTTGCACGACAAAGGAGACATAAACAGCCCAGGACAAAACCAAATTATTTGTAGAGGCAGGGCTTTTAAAAACAGACATTGGACAAAAATACAGTAATATAAAAGAACTTAAACAAAAGGAGTGAGATACGCTCATTAGTTAAAATTGTTTCCATCAAGAATTGAGGTATAATTACCTGTAAATAAAGATAGCAGAATGCATGCATGCTAAAGAATCGTACACGGGGTCGGTTTTTGAAGGGTCGGTTCTTGAATTGTCGCTGGTAATATGCTGCCATCCATCTTTGGATTTAAATACAATGAAATTAATGTTAATAATAGCAGCCGGATTTCTTGTAGTGAGTCCAGACACGTTGTGTATCCGGGCAGGATGTAAAACAGCAATTTGAAGATGTTTGCAGGCATCAGTTTACAAATATTCTAAGATTTATGTTGGACTATATTATAAGGGGAAAATATTGATGATGGTTGGTGCTATTGGTGAAAATTTTCGTTAAATCCTAAGCAAAAACAGAGAGCTTTGTGGTTGTTAAGTGTCTGGAACCCCCTCCCCCCCCCCCCCCCAGCATACATGGCGAACATGTCATGTCACACTTGAAACCCCCGGCACGCTTCAATCTACAATCGTGTATGATTGGGTTTCATATTCTGAAGCTAAATCATTAATATAATGATGATGACAATGACAATAATAATCTGGACTCAATTAGCATTAAATACGAAATACCGTCTCTAAGCGCTTTATAAATATTATTCCCCGGGTCATTGGATTCATCCAGGCACAATGTGCACCATCTCCACTCCCTGGGAAATATTCCTACCATATGGTCACCGTGAGGCCATTATGGCAATTACTAACGCAAAGGAATTTTTCATCCTATCAGGTCCCCATTTCTCTCCTGGTTATAGGAGGAAAATGTAGTTTGATGCCTTGTCAAATGAAGTTGTTGATGTATCGGGGATTGAACCCACGCTATTTGCATTTCAAGTCAAGCGTTTGAACAACTCGACTACAACACCTCTAGACTTGCACAAAAGAGGAAATTTAGCCAATTCACCTTGTGTTTGTTCAAAGCATAGACAGTGGATCATATTTTGCATCGCCTCTGTCTTAAGCGTCTGCAAAAGAGAATCTCGAGTACACGCTTGTGCACACATGATGAAGTCAATACTAGGCATATCAAGACTCCATCTGTCCCCGCTGTAAGTCACCTTTGTGGCTGTGATGTGTTCAACCTGAGGATGTCTTTGGCTATCTTGAAGACTTCCTTCGGTCTCAGTTGGGAGTGTTGGCCACCCCGGAGCTGGTTTAGGACTCTCCTGCACCTTAGCCAAGAAAAGGTTTACCATGGATGTCACATCCTCATCCTGAAGACTCCTGCAGAGCTTTACCCACTGGGAGCATCTCATCGTGGTTGGCTGCCTGTTGGCAAAAATCTCCATTGAAGCTTCAGGATCCGATAGTCCATGCACCAAGACAACGATACGAGAAGGACCTAAATAAAACGGGAATGGGTAATGAAATAAATAGAACGAATAATTGATAACCATTTATATTCCATTTTACCAAGAGTACGTGCCCCCCCCCCCCGTTTCATCGAATGGTGACAGCTTTAAAGGCAGATGAGAAAAATAAGAAATAGTAAGTATAGCCTCATAAATAAAGCATATTGTAATAGGTCTACTAGAATGAAAAGAGTTTTTTTTCAAGCGACCCTCCTGTGAAATACAATTTGAAAAATATGACATTTTATTAACAAATTGGAAAGTTATCCGCAAGTTATTTACAGTTACATTATTGGTTCGGTCAATTTAAAATTCTCATACGTATACAGTGATTAAAATTATTTTCAATTCACAACTTTCTTATTGTTTCTCCGATTTCGTTCACGCTTTCACTTAATATCTACTTCTTTATTTGTTCTGCTTTCTTTCAGGGTAATTTGTTATTAAGTTTTGATTTTTCTGTAAGCTACAAAGGCCACTAGTACTAGTAGAATATAATCCAAACTTATAAGATGACTTAGCAACGGGATTAGTAAGGTAAGCCCTAAATTGAAAAAAAAAAATTCGTATATTACTTGTTATGATTAGTGTGACATCGGGGTTAAATTCACATTAGTCAGCTACAAATTCGATACTTGCATTCATTTAGTACATGTGTGGATAATTGTAAAGTGCATTTAAACATATATTTGGAAATGCGATATTAAAAAACATTATTATATATGTGAGTAGCATAATTTTATGGAAGAAGATCTTACACCCATGTGTCATCAATGTCGACTTCTAAATATGTGGGCAATTCCACGGAACATGCTCACTAGCACCAACAAAGAGAGACTAAAGACTATATCTCCAGAAATACGTATGCGATTTTGGTAAATGTAGTATCTCAAGAAAGGTTCCTTGGTTTTTACTCCTTGATACGGAATACAAATTAAAGACACTATTTATTTTTTTCGAGACAGTGATAAAAGTACATTTTTACCCTTCAATTTACCAAACAATTATCAATTTCGAGGATTTACACAAATATAGATTTTCCTCCCAAATTCTTCGTTCCCCATGACCCCTTCTTTCGACGGGGATGTACTTACCGAATTCTTTGCTAAGGCGAGGAAGAAACTCGTCATACTGGGCATCCTGCACATCAGTAATGGACAATCTTCCCCTGGCAATTGAATGAATCAAGATCACTGCATCATACTGGCAGAATACACGACTTTCCCTTTGAACATCACTTGCAATACAGCAAAAGGTTACATTAACATTGCCATGATTTTCCAATTTTGAAATGAATTCTTCATACTCGCTTCTGGATGGAGACATAGAACATACAGCCAATGAAACCGGGTCGTCCATTTTCTTTTAACAGTCAACCTTAATGTAACTGCTGGAAAGTCGCTGCCACACGTTTATATATCCCAAAAGAGAGGAAGTGAAACAGAAAGTAGGCGTGGTGACTTTCCTAAAATGGGCAGGAATATGCAATGAAGCAGATCACGAGACAGTGATGATGAAATTTGTAATTCGGAGAAAGTTCTAGCAGTTTTATTGCGTAATAATATTCGATATGCTCTCTGTATATAAATACAGTCGCATGTTTCATTTAAATATAACATAGTATAATCGACGAAGATCATTTGAGAGCAAGGATTGAAGAAAATGGCAACTTCAATCGAAGATGCCCGTAGCCAAATGGATGCTTTTTGCGACCAGGAAAGTAAAACCACGGTCATGTTCGTCGGAGCTCCTGGAGCTGGAAAGTCGTCCTTAATCAACTCCTTGATCAACATCATCGACTACGACAAGGATTCTAGGCAGAAGGGTGTCAGCAGGTACATCCCCACTGCCCCGCCGGACATGATGGGTGGACACACCCTTATGCGGGAGCAGGTGGAATTGACCAATGCTCTGACCATTGTGGATAATCGTGGGTGGCACGACTGGGAGAAAGAGGTGGCTCTGAAAGAGCTAGTCGCTCAAATAAGTAAGGTTACATTAATATTACTTATTATCGTAGTGATGATAGTGACAGTAAGAACGATGATAATGATGATGATGATAATGATGATTATGATGACAGTAAACGTAAGTATTAGTAGTAGGAGCAGTAGCAGTAGTAGTAGTAGTAATGATGATTGTGATGATATTAATGATGATAATAGTAATGATAATGATAATGATAATGATCATGATAATAATGATAAAGATAAATAATTATGATTTTAATAATACTTTTAGTAATATTGATACTACTACAACTATTAGTGCTAGGCCTACTTTTAATGACAATACTAATAACAATAATTATTATAATAATAACAATAATATTTTTTAAATAAAGGTATAATATTACTGAGAAATGGTTTAGTAATGATGATAACAATGATGAAAATGAAGGCAGTAAACATTATAACAATTACAAGTGTTATGATGATGCATCATTTGAATGGAATTAAACCAACCATTTGCAAACAGCCCCTTTATTGTGTGTTTTTTTAAAGCCTGGTCGATTGTCATATTTTTTTAAAAGAATTACGACTAGTTTGATATATCTGAATAATTATTCTTCTTTCAGATGCCCGACGGGCCTTCGTTGATGATGTAGATTGGGAACATGGAGAAGAGGAAGAAGACATCCTGGAAATTCCTCTAGTTATTGCCGAGAAAATAAGCTGTGTTACCATCGTTATCAAGTGAGTCTCCCCCACAATGTATTCCTTGATTATGTCTGCGAAGTGGGAATTAGATATGGGGTTACGCACTGTTGCCAAGTTGACTATGATATGGCTCTGTACAATAAACAGTATCAGAGCCATCTATACACAAAGTCTGGCCAACCCGGTTTGAGTTGGACACAATAGGGCGACTAATGCTTTGTTGGGCAAACACAAAACACAAGAATATACGCCATGTTGTGACCAAGTGAAACCAAGTTGGCCAAGCTCTGTAAATAGATGGCTCTGAACAGTCTACGCAAGGGCAGAAAGTTCATTAGTTCAGTATCGCTTTACTATAATAAATCCTAGTTTCTTACGTCATGCATATTGCGTCTTTGACACAGATTTATACCTATCTAGAGGATCTTGTCGTTTCAATACAAAAGGATAACAAAATAGATGCACTTGTCACGAAGAGAATCGATAAATAACGGGCACTTATACGTGAGAATAATCTATTGTGAAATCGGTTTTGAAATGAAGTTTAAACCCCTAAGGCTATCGAAAGTAGATTTTAAAAGGGATGTCTCAGAAATGCAGAATTTAAATTCTTAAAGCTTATCTGCCGTAGTTTACAGGAGGGTTTAGACTGCTCTGCAAGGTCATTGGACAGGTGGTTATCTCATCAACTCAGCTCTCAGTTAACATAAGAAATAGAGGATCATGGGGGACCAATGGTCACCGATTAGGCATTGTTTGTTATATAGAGGGCGCAAGTAGCTACCAGTAGTGCAGTGGGCCTTTAAGACACGTAATAAATGTAAAGTATGACATAATGCATTACTGTATGAAATCAACTAATAAGATTTTGAACTACAAAGCTAACTTATATATGTACTCAACGCTTTTTAAGCATACTAGCTAAATCGTATATCCTTTTGTTCGATTGTTGTTGATTTGTAGACAACGTATGCAAAATTTCAATGTTTCTCGCTAGCTCATTTTGAATCCTCAGTTTTCAAGTCGTTACTTTCATTACTAAAAAATGTTGGCTTCACTTGATTAAAATTGACCATCCAGTTTCAAGGAGCATACAAGAACGACGTCAACATGATGTATAATAGTCATACATGTATGCAGCAATATTTTCGAAGTTCTTTATTTAATAGTAGTAAGACAAGTTTGTTTTCTCGTCGTACCATCCCGTTTTCTTTTTCCACTCTCTCTCTCTTTCTCTCTCTCTCTCTATCTATCCTCCTCTCTCTCTCTCTCTCTCTCTTTCTATCTTCCTCTCTCTCTCTCTCTCTATCTTCCTCTCTCTATCTCTCTCTCTATCTCTCTCTCTCTCTATCTTCCTCTCTCTATCTCTCTCTCTCTATCTTCCTCTCTCTATATCTCTCTCTCTATCTTTTTCTCTCTCTCTATCTTCCTCTCTCTATCTTTCTCTCTCTCTCTCTCTCTATCCTCCTATCTCTCTCTCTCTCTCTCTCTCTATCTTCCCCCTCTTTCTCTTTCTCTCTCGCTGAAGTGGTGAAGGTGGCCTCGGTGCACTCAAAGGCATGCAGAATCTGGTCAAGACGTGCAACAAGGAGACTGGTGAGACTACATGTATTTTCTCGAATACTTTTGTGATAAAAAGATATAAAAAGAACAGTCTGAGAATGAATCAGTGATTATATGTTCCACTTGTCTATGAATTTGATTATGTTATAGGCCTAGATAAATTTGAATGTAGCTGTATTACAGTTAGGTTTGTTAGGTTAATACTTGCTGTTACCCCCCCCCCCCCCCCCAACTGGATAATTACTAGTAATGTCCTATACATTACCAGTGACTTGATTTAAGTTACTTGTAACCATTTATATTAATTAACTTTTTATATTAATTAACTCTGTTTTATGTATTTTTCTTTTGTTGTCTTGTATCATATGTAGATGTCCTTTTGGGGGTTTGTGTTTTGTTTCCTTTCATGTCGGTGTTTTAGGATTTTCCGGCCAAATTCGCGAGTTTGTCATTTAAATTAATTTGTCTTGCGTTCAAATTTGGCGGTTTTAGTGCTGTCAGATATATCTTGGGTTGATATTCCTTTTTCTAGTTTTGAAATCTATGAATTTTTCGCTAGAATCGATGTATGTTTCATTTAAATTAATGAATAGTGTGCTTCTTTCGCTATTTGGTCATTCGATTTGGCGCAACACGATTTCTGGCATCGCGAATGTGTACTTTTAGCATTCGAATTCATTTGTAGCATTCAAATTAGCACTTTGTGCACTTAAATTGATGGTCAATATACATTTCTCGTTTATTACACACTTTTTATAGCTCATTCTTTTTCTTTCAAAATTGTTTTTTGCATGTGTATTTCATCATATTCTATTTTCTTTCATTTATACACTTCATATACTTTTAGATTTATCTGATATTCATCATCCTTTAAGTTTGATTGTTAAGAAGAAAAAAAAAGACTTACATCTACGGACTTGATGGTCTCAATATATTTGTAAATGTTCATGTAAGGAAGTTGTTTGTCTTGCGTTTCATCATAAATTTATCACAATTTCATTATGGAGGAAGGGTACAATATTGTGACTGGGATAAGTATTTTTGTATCCCCACTTTTCCGGGGTATATTAACATGTCCGTGCAGAAAAACCATATCCCTTGATTTCGCCCCTTCCAACAAAAATGGAATAACAGAAAAGACCGTAATGGCAAATCATGCAGTTAATTGCATTTTTTTAAATAACTGTAAACGTGTGTTGCATTTTTCCCCCTAACATTCCTAACTTGAATAAACATAATTCGAATACGAATGACAGGTGTTAATTTGAATGATAAAAATGACGCCTCGACAAGTGACGATTAATTTGAATGCTAGTTGAGCAGTTTCTAAATTAAATGACAGATCTATGAAACCCTTCGACCACAATTTTAAATTGAATACCAAAACGGGAAAATTGAATGATAATTGTCATGGCAAAGCCGATCTGCGCTAACTTCAATGCAAAGAAAATGAATTCGAATGACAAACTCGCGAATTTCGCCTGGAAATTCTATCATCTACAAGTATTGTTTATGTTATAATTTGTTTACAGCTCTCTCTTAGTGGGACAAGCCTGCTCAATAAACAAAATATAAATAAACAAAAATCATCCAACGACGATAGAAAACGCCATAATATCCAACAACCACAAAGATAAAGCAAATAAATGAATACATGAATGGATAATTGAATTCAAAATGAATGAATGACTAAATAAACAAGTGAATTAATGAATGAGTAAAAAAATGAATAAATAGACAAATACAAAAAGAATATACATATAAAGCCGACCAGCTGCCCCCGAAAAAAGAAAGTTTTGATGTGAATGTATTTGTCCTATCGTAATTTACCCGTTGTGGGAAAGAATATTTACAAGAAATATATGTTTTGATTAATAACAAAGCTACTTATTTGTATCAAACTGGCATTAAGTTTGTGTTTACTTTTTGTTGTTGTTTGTGTTATTAATCAGGTCGCAAGCCATCGGTCGTTGTCACTCACAAAGATAAGATGACTATGGATCAGATTCAGAAGATAAAGTCTATGCTGGAGCAAGAACATGGGATTGGCAGAGAAAGAGTGTTCGTCATCCAGAACAAAATTGATATTGATACCGGTCTTGAAGCTGGCTCAAAATCACGTCTTCTCGATTTCCTTGAAGGC